AGAGACCTCTAATAGCCTCCCCTAACATGTACTGTTTCAGAATTAAATGCAAGAAATGGTCATTTCCCTCAGTATTGCTATACCTGCTATCTGTGGGACCCCGATGTCTGTTCTGAAGAAACTTCAGTTACCTAAGCCTCCGACAGTTAGTCTCCTTTTCAACTATCATTATTTTAAAAGGCGTATTACATTTTAATATAGCTATATGCATCTACACAGGTAGTCCTCAACTTACAACCATTTGTTTAGCAAGCATTCAAAGTTATAACAGCAGCAAAAAAAAAAAAGACTTAAAACTGATCCTCACACTTTCCAGCCAGCTTCCAAGTCAATGGAGGAAGCCGGATTTGCTTAACAACTGCAATGGTTCCCTTAAAGACCATGGAAAAATATGTTAATAAAATTGGGCACAACTCACTTAGGTAAGGGAAATACTGGTCCCAATTATGGCCATACATCAAGGATTATGTGTATTTTTTTTACTTAGTTTAGCTTAAAAATTAATTAAAAGAAGAAAAGGAAAACTCGTGTCAATCGTTAGTGTTCATCTTCATTCCTTTTGTATCTTTCTTTTTTCTTTTTGTAAGATTAAGATAGCAGAAATTGATGGCTGTTTGTTACATTGTAAGATGCTTTGGAATCCTTTCAAACAGATGGAAATTCTGCAAATCAAAATTTAGCCAGTCTGGGAAATGCTGCCCTCCACAACCCATGAATATAAATGTATGTGTCTGTCAGTTAGGTTCATTTTTTTACCCATTTTCTCAATTAATCATTGTTTATATATATTTTTTCATCAATTTGTTTTAAAATAAATATTAAATAAATACTACTAAAAATGAATATGAAGTAAGGAAAAGAAAAAAGACATCAAAAGGAAAGGTGAAAATTTCAAGAAAGCAAAAAAGTAATAGAAAAATAGAAATTAAAAAGATACATAGAAGTAGCTTCTGATCTTCTTTATAGGGCATTCATTTCATTTTTTTTCTATGTGCAGGTGAAAGCACATACATTTATTGAAACCAATACTGATTCAAGGGCTGTTCACTGAACTAACTAAATGAGTGGCCTTTCATTGAAATCAGCAGCAGAGCCGTAGTACGTCATTTGCCTTAAGAGAATATACAGAACTATAATCTATCTAACTCAATGTTGTTTGGACAACATCTTTTTTGTAGAGTGGGGCTTTATGGCTGGAAATTTAAGTAAAGAAAATCAGAAAGCCAAGGGACGAATGTCACTCTTGTATGTTGACTAGTTAACCTCTCAAGTCTTTAAAGACAACACCGATATTGATCTTTTGTGTTTGGTGAAACCGAAGGCAGCAGGCAAGCAGACGTTGATCAAAAAAGCATGGGGAATAAGGCCCATGGTCTCAAGAGGACTGCCATCCTGCCACATTGGCCATGCTTCGCCAGATGCCAGTCTGCCATAAGCGATAGGAGGAGGGAGTTGAAGGGGGGGCTTGTAATAAGGGGAATCCAAACTACTCTTCGTACCGTCCTGAGAACCGCTGGCTGTTCTGAGGTCATGGAATGGAATGTGAGATCATCCAACCCACCAAGCAGGGACTGTTACCAAAAAGAAAAATAATAATAATGATTTGAATGCAATTGGACGCTTTGAGTTAACCAAAGGAAAGATGGAGAGAGGGGAAAAGTTATCCAGATGCTTTGGGGGCAAAACTTCAGGTCCTGCTTTGCTACTCTGTAACCACTTGTCTTTAGTAAAATGTACTTTAGCTAACAATAAGAGTCGAGAGTCTTTCTTCTCTAACTGACTGAGTTGGGACGGCTGACAGATGGCTTTCATTTATTTATTTGTGCAAATAACTCAAGGCAGCAAACGTATTTGACACAATGTCCTCCTCCTATTTTCCTCACGACAACCCTGTGAGGTGAGTTGGGCTGAGACAGGACTTGAACTCATGGCCTCCCACTTTCTAGCCTGGTGCCTAGACCAAACTAGCTCTCAAAGGGATCATTGCTACTCCAATAGAGGCAATTGATCATGCTAAATATAGAAATATCCCCTTTTCAACATTCTCACAGATGATGCCTTGTCTCTCTGGAGATTTTTCAAAATGATGTTGGGACAAAGGGCACACGTGTGCAAAAAGAAGATAATTCATCAGTTTTATCTTCTGATATGTACTTTGCATATATGTTGAAAGTGCAAACACTTGTATAATAATTTATCAAGGCTTGAACAGCTGAACTAAAACAGAAACCATGGCTTTGTCCTCTTCTCAAAAAATGGTGTGCATGAACTTTGCCAGAACAAGGGCTATATTGCAGAAGTCCCCAGTTCATTGTCTGCCACCTCTCGTTTTCTGCCACCTTGGACAAGCTCATTCAGAAAAGGGCCCCACTATCTAGAAAACACTGATGCACCTGAAAACTCCCAATTGACTACTGGACAAACTGTGGCCTTTTGGGGTCATCAGAGATATTTCCTTACCTAAACAGGAAAAAAATGGGTTTATTTTCGAATCATTATAAATTTGTAATATATGCCCATAAGTGCCATTCCCATTCTGTCTGACACACACACACACAGAGTTTTAAATCGTATCTATAATGATAAGTTTGGCTTGGTATGGTGTGTGCATAGCTCTGCTCTGCAGATGCCGTTCAGAGAGGAGGGGATGGGAGGGAGGCAATGCTCAAATTGGTGGAGGGACTGCTGTGGTACATGCTGGGAAAGAAAGTACATGGTACTCGTGAGCACAGAAAGGCAGCAAGTAGGCTGCTGGTGGATCTGTGCATGTGTGGGAGCCCAAGATGTCTGGGGAGAGAGGGCACTAGATCCATGAGAGAAAGGGGGTTGCTTGTATGTATGGGTTAACGTCAGAGAAACCCAGGAAGGAAGCGAAACCTTGCCAGCTTCCCTAGCGACTTTCCTTGTGGGAATGTGACTGTAGTCAACAGGATTAATGGACCCCAGACATTTTGTTGTATTGTCTAAATTAGCCCATTTTAGGAACCTTTGATTCAAAAATTGTTGCCCTATGATAAACCAATTTGCTCAAATTAAGGTTACAGACAGGAGTTTTAGTAGTATGTAAATAGCCCAGGCTAAGCGCCTCTTCCCTTAACTGTCCCTGCAGGTATGTGGGTGGCTAACTTTAAAGCTAACGTTACCACTCCAGAATTAGAGGAACAATAGTGGATGCATTCAAACTGGATGATCCAACGTTGCAATTTAATCCCCACCCTCATTTTCATATAATATGCAGTACGCCATTGGAAGTTATTTAGGGACCTTAGTCATAGAACGTTGACAAAAGGGAAATAGAGGTCTATTCCAGGGGTCAAACTTGCATCATCACGTGACGTATCATGACCTTTGCTAAACCGGGTGTGGCCGTGGCTAGTGTGTGACACATCCAGTCTGTGGGCCGCCAGTTTTACAGCCCTGGTCTATTCTTTTTTAAGTTTGCTAAACTTCCATAGCCTTCTCACAAGTTAAAAGAGCCAATATACTGTAACTGCGCAACTTATGACATCACATCACTGCAGCTCTCATCAGGAACCTCCTGTACAGGGTAATTATTGCCCCATCGTGATTCAGCTTTCCGATGTCATTCTCAGAGGTAGAAAGAGCAAAGACTCTTCACTGGGTCACCTAGTAATTTCAGGATAGGATAGAATTTCAAGGATCAAGTTACAACTAGTGAATTAGGAAAGAAGTAAAGCATTTACATCAATGCAATTTGCAGCCAAAGCTACTTTTAAATGGTGGTCAAGATACCTGTGCAAGAGCTTGGAGATAAAATAAAAATGTTGAGAAAAGAGATAATGGGATGTGCTGGGACAAAATGTATTTGCTGCATTTGCACCAGGATGTCACTCCACATATGCCATCATTGCAGTCTCCTGTGTCCACTGCTGGATAATGCAATGGCATTTGATAAAATTCCTAGCTTGCTCATCACTGCTATCCGTGAACCGTTTTTTGCAAATGCTTTCATGACCTTTGGAATATTGACATAATAAATTAACCAGCTATTCTTATCTACTTTAACAATTTGCTGCTGTGGTCTAGCAGCAAATACAATTGCATGACCTTGGTCTAGTGAAATGGCAAACCAATCTGGTGTCCAAAGAGAGAGGGGCGAGCTTTTAAGATCATCTCTGTTGGGCTTTAATCTAATGTCAATGCAAAAGAAAGATCTGCTCTATTTTCCTCCAGCCACTCCCCCAAATGAAAGAGATTAGAATTAAGAGGTTGGCAATGGTATTCTGACTTGATGAAATGAACAAGGACAAAACAGTTTAGAATATTTTTTACTCGTGATAAAATGTTTTCTGGCTTGGGGTGGCAAGTGATAACTTGTAGCTGATGAACTATGTGCTGTTATACTTTCTCTGCTAAGTCTGTTAAGTAGGTTCAGATGGCTAGACGTGTGTGAACTAAACTGGATAACTATTTCTTTTAAGAGTATTTGTTCCAGAATAAATTAAAACAAACCAGTAAATTGCTTGTCTTACATTATATATTACTTTGTATAAGGTGGTTCTGTGAAAACATGATTTTCAAAGACTTGAGACAAAACCCAAAGAGAGCAAGTATAGATGGCCAATAGAAGAAAAACACAAATAAAAGAGACAGACATTAGCTTAACAATTAAAAAGGGAAATCTAAAGTAATAGACAAGAACGCAGAAAAAATTGAGAGTACAGATGTCATGACATTTATTAAGAGGCATGCTACAACTAGAGTTTTAGAAAAAAGAGTTAGGTAGATACTCAAGTAATAATCAGCAAGTACACAAAACTTAAAAGAAATGGAATAAAACGGCAGTGTACAGAAATTCAAATTAACCATGCACTACACAGTTAGAAAATAGGTTTCTTTAATATTTCAACTTCTTTGCATTTATAACATCAAGTCATTTCAACAACACGGAATCCTTTCTCCCCTCCAATGCCACAAGCTGCTTAACAAACAAAAGCTGGTACTGTTGCTTATCAAAATATACAAGACAATTGATGTTCTTTTTATTAATAATATAAAAACCATTTTATACTTGTTCCCAAAAACCTTTTTTTTGCCAGGTAAAAAAATGTTGTTACAAATATTTACAGCATTTTCTTGTGTTAGATGAATATTTTTACAAACTTAAAAGGGGATTTGTGAACACATGAAAAATTAGGGAATGTCTGGCTCCTGTAACTGTGTGCCTTTATTTGTCTGAATACAGTATTAAATATCCACTCACCCTCTTCCCTTAGACCATTTTATTTGGTTCACATTTTAAAAAAATCTTGTCTCTTGTTCATCACCAATAATCGCATAAAAGGCCACTTTACACGGAGTCTTTCAAGAAAAAAATACCTCAAGGACAGAACTGGCAAGATGTTTCAGTAAAACCAGAGCAAGCAATCTTTGGTCATTGCAAATGAGGTGACAATCTAATAATGCAACATTTTGTTTGGTCAGCAACCGTATGTTGAGAAAGTGGGAGGCTTGTTTGTCCAGAAATTGGAGAACGAATTGGGGAAGAATAAAAACACAATTACAGAGATGAATTAAAAGTTTAACTGATTGGGTGTTTTCCCCCTATCCTCACTAATGATGCACATTAATCCAAGAATGGGAATTTCTGCAAGAGCTTATTTATAAAAGAGGAAATATGTATCCTCCTCTCTGATTTATTATTTTCCAGGTTAAAACTTACTGTGAGAAATGTAAAGCCAGATGTCTTGAACTCCTGTATGGTACAACATGATTCATGTTACAATGTAGACAGCAAAAGAGCTATAAACTGACTGAAACAATAAGCAATCAACTGCACATAAGGACATTATATGTTCATGGGTCATTTGGTATTTTAGTCTATATAAATACACATTTCCTTGAACACAAGAGTGCTGATTTTAAAGACTGAAAAATTTAGCAAAAATAAAATAAAATAAAATACAGAAATCTACTGAAGGCACATGAACTTTGGTCCCATTTTGTTTTTTTCTTTGTAAAACCCTGAAATTAAGATTTACGAAGCTTTTGTTTTTTTAAAAAATAATTCCTAATTGTTAAGGTTTGCTTTAAAAATTAAGAACAGTTTCATATATTACATACAGATTTTTGCAAAGACAATTAGGAGTTTGTTTGCTTCAAAAACGTTATGTGTGCAAAATGTCAACAGTTTGCAGCACAATTCAAATCTGGCAATTGTAATCAAAGTTACCAGTCCACAAAAGTGTCAAGGCGAACAAAATGGCTTTCATACAGTTACCTACTCAGGTCTGCTCCTTTGAAAATAGCAATATATATCTGAGCTGTTGTTGTTCTAGTATATATATTCCAGTATCTACACACTATATATTTGCTATTCCCAGAAGTATCACCATGATTTTCCTTGGATATACTTAAATAGGCAGCAATGGATTTGGCTCACAAAATGCACCCCACGTGCTAAACTTTAGAGTAAGTATCCATTGCAAGTGGAGCCTTTCGGTCTGAAAGAAGAGGTGCTACACCAGGTGCGTCAAACTTGCATCGTAACAGTGTTGTCGCGTAATGTATCACAACTTTTTCCCTTCGCTAAACCAGGCGTGGGCATGGGCGGTGCATGATGCATCCAGCCTTCAGGCCACAAGTTTGACACCCCTGTGCTACACAGACAACTCAAGGCTGCTTTTAAAAACATAGGCACAAAGAGCCTACAGAGTATCCTTCAAACACAGTTAAGAGTACGAAAGGTGAGAAATGGGAAAGGCAACCAAGTTAGGGCAAGGGTTCAAATTAATGTTGCTTTGATATTCAGAAACCTGCAAACATGTTGGATAGAAAAAAAATTGTGGCGCAATACTGAAGTTAAACCACATTACAATTTGGGCACATATATATACCAATTATTATTAAACACAGAATGCATGGTATGAAGAGACTGCAGTAAGAGATTGCAGCTCTACCAGCATACTGCAGTTATCCTTCCCAAGCCAGTTTTGAAAGAAAAAAAAAAGGTCTATTTTTTTTCCTAATTTATAGTCAAATATAGCCAGTTTGCATTTCATTGTTAAACTATTATGGCTTTACCTTTCGGAATAAAAATCCCAAGAACTGTGGATGATTGAAAACTTGAGCCAATACTATTTCAAATTAGACCAGGTTTGAACCTGGTTGTTTCTGAAGGCATTTTAGCTCTGATGCATTGCTATCAGATGAGGAATGTGCCATAATTCCCAATTTAAAAAGCATTTCCATCACAAATGTTGATCTATGGAACTGCAAATCCCTCTTCATAAGAGGTGCTAATCGGTTTACTAAAAGGGCACCATTGCTACTTCTGTTATGTATAAATATACCCTATGCATTGATTTAAAACCTTCAATTTTTCAACCCAAATACTAGAGGCCTTATATGAAAGTTTGTTACTTCAACTGCACTTCCAAAGGTTTTGCGAGGGCCACAGTGCTTTACAGCTTAACAGAAAATAAAGGTTACGGCAACCAAAATTGATGAGAATGATGAAATAATTTGGAAAATTAATTTTCTATACTAGGGTGCTTTATAAGGCAATATCTGCAAAAAATTATGTTACCGAATAACCACATCCTTAATTAAGCCACTTACTATTCTATGGTAACATTATTTATTTCTAATGTTCTGCAGCAAAGGAGTAAAAGGACAAGAAAATGGTAGTTATCTGTTTTTATCTTAATCCAAATTCAAGAGGTTGCCTTCTAAAACATTCCACGGGAGGAGAAAATTAAGCTAACTATTGCTATAAATGGAATTCCTGTTTTAAATGCAAAGTTTGTACTGCCATTTCTTATATTTGCAACTCATGGAAAAAATAAGCTTGCCAAGTAAAATCAAACTCAAAATGTTAAACACACATACACTACAACCATGATTTATACAGAATATAAGGTAATTATGATGAGACCTCCCTAAAAGGATATATCCAAAATAAAATCCAAAACATTTGCCAGCATATAACTATAATTGTAGGTCTAAAAACTCAAAACTGGAAGTAGGAAATTTTATAGAAACTATGGTATTTTTTTAATCTTAAATTGACCATTTATTTCTCTTAACTCTACAAAGTTGTTTAAGATTAGTAAAATCAATAAATTAAATGCTTGCAATGTTTATCAGCATAAAACATAAGGTATTTCACATAATACACATGCGCACACACACACTCACACACAAAACTCTTGATATTATACATGTTAATGCTCAGTCTTATTTTTTCCTGCTTCAGTTACATTCATCAAGTCCAACCACATCCCCCTCTGTAGCAGCATTAAACACATGGTGACCAAGCCTAAACGTAATTTAGCAAGTAACAATACAAGGCAAATTTATTGGTTCTCTAATCCAAGTAGCTATTTAATGGCTTATGGGGCTGTCATCCTAAATATACTTATTTTGAGCCATAGTCCACTAAAATTGATAGAATGAAAGGGAAACACTAAGGCTCATGTGGCATAACAGAATCAGGCACTCGTTTTAATCACTTTGCTAAATTAAGAAAATATGTTGCTACTCTAGAGTTGGCTTGTTTTAATAGACTTATTATTTTCAAACAGCTGCAAGTCATAGCTAAAATGGAATCAGATCTTCCTGGACACTAATGTAGCTTTACATGAAGAAACATACATGTTGACAAAACACATGCTAATCAAGTGTCCAAATTGTGATTATCAACAAACTATCTTCCACGCACAACTATACAAATTTAAGGCAGCCAGTGTCGCACTGCGTATCCTTTCATGCTACAGCAATGTTAGTAAGAAACTTGCATTTCAAAGGTAACTTATAATTTTGTCATTTTAAAGGAGTTTAGAGATTGATCTAAAGCTGTGAAATTCTTTTTGCCAAGCAAAAGCTGGTATTCACAGAACAACCTAACCTACTAAACATTCCAAAGACAATGAGCACACTTCATATTATCACATTCTATTTCTTTTTCTAAATCTTTGTCTCCATTTTCAAATCAATGGAAAGGATTAACCATCCTTATTGATGAGAGGAATATTTTATAAAACAATGCATTTTTTTTTCAGTAGACGTAACATCTTGAGACCCCTCTAAAAACATTGTATTACAATCATAGAAATAACTTGAGTATACCTATATTTCACAAAAAAATAGTTAAGATTGCATCTCTCTCTCCAAAAAGGAGTGAACATTCAGTCCTGAAGTTTTGACATTTGTGAATGCAAGCCCATCTGCACCGAGCACAACAAGCCCATTACTGTTGGGTGAAAAGAATCCTGAGGCAAAATATTCTCAGAGTCAATAACTCAACTGTTAGATATCAACCAGAAACTGAGAACATTTTCTAAAGCCCAACAAGGGCACCACTCAACTGCAACCTCTAAAATATTGTGAAGAGGCCTAGAAGCAGGAGCACTGAGTTATCTTCGTTCCCAACCTACCCACCCCTATACCAAAGCACCAAAATCTGATTTGACTATTACTTATTAAAAACATCTTTAAAATCACCAAATGTTTAAAAACTAAGACAAAGGGAAAAAATTTCACAAAGCCACAATACAGTTAAAGATACTTCAGATAAAACTCTAAACTATTATATCATTATAAGCACATAATAAGGCACATAAGAAATTAAGTAAATACACAGTAATTCTTATTTAAGTATTAGAGATTATAGTGGTACAAAAAACCCTTGAGGTTTAAATTTTATATGTTTAAAACAAGACCTTACCAAAAAATAACCTTTCTAAAAATTTGTCAAACCATATGACAGACCTGATTTTTTTTCCTTAGGAGTGTAAACAATTATTTTTCTGAAAGAAATGTACAAAACTTGAAATCAGGACATATTTCTTCTTTCATTTTCTCCAATTTCTTATTACACTTCATCCATAGTAACAACAGTTATCTCTCACACTGTGATGTAATGCCTAGTTAGAACTGTCAACAAATTGACCTTAGGACAATTTACCTGTGTGGGTTACATAATTAATTGGATATTATATTACTCCAAGGAGAAATAAGGCACGGCCTTTCCTCCAAAATTTTCAATAGAGAATGATTAAAACATTAATTAGTAAAAAAAACCTATTCCCACCAAAAATATTTTGATTATAACTGATGTATAAAATAATTTGCCAAAATTATTTTTAAAACATTCCATCAATCACATTGTTTGACAGAGAACACAAATATTGTCTGGGAATAAAAGCTTGACTATGTTCCTGAAATCACCAAAAAGAAAAAAGAAAGATGGGTTCTACTAAAGAAGATAGATTATTAACAGAAAATTTTGTGGAGGACTATTTGCCATTACAGCAAAAGATAAATCCATGATTTGTTACAATGTCTAGAATTACACATGAACCACACACGTTTCATTGTTCAAAGATGCAGCGTTGGTTTGGCCTGTTACAGTCTCTGCCTCAAATTTTACTGGAACTATGGGCACACACGTTGAACTCCAAAAGGTCCTCAATGCATCAGATTCAGATTGTAGATTTAGAAAAGGAAACTCTGAGGTGATGATTTTCTCCAAGATCATGATTATGAAGCTCAGTAAGGGCTTGGATTGCTTCTTCCACAGTGCCCAGTTGGATAAGAGCCATTTTGCGGTCTTTTCTAGAAGCAAAAAAGTAACAGTTAAGTACATTTATTGATAGTGCACCATCCTTACTATCACAACTTTTACATTCTGCCTATATGGTACTTATTTTGGAAAATATTCAGAGGGACTTCATTCTGCTTACATTGCAAGATAAAAACAACACTAAAAATCTTGGTTGTTACTTAGACTCTGATTTTTTTCTTCTTCTATGTCAGTGTGCTAAAAACTTGCTACTTGTTAATTCTGTTAAAGCAAATACTTTTCAGCTACAGCTTCTCAGTTTTATGCTTTTATTTTCAGGAAAGGAAATTCAAAGATACAGTCAAGTTTTTAATTTTATGTAACCATAAAATGTTTCTTTCTTTCCCCAACAGAGATCAATCAATCATTATTTCAATATCATATTATCTTTTCATATCCTTATAGATGACAAGAATGCATTCTTTACACAAAGTGCAGAAACTTACGGAAAGAATTTGAAGGCTTTCACAATACATCCAGTACCAGCAAAAAGATTCTTCAGGTCATCAACAGTGATAGAAGGCCTGTAACATGGAATTAAGTATCCAACATTAGCAAATATATACAAAATACAAGTAAAACATCTTTTTTGAAAATAGCATGGTCCTGGGTTGAACTTCTTTATACAGACACAAAACTCAATTTCATGCTCCTTTTTGTGTTCTATTCCATATCTTATGCTATTCTACATTTTCTATATACCATATATACTCGAGTATAAGCCGAGTTTTTCAGCCCATTTTTTGTGCTGAAAAAACCCCCCTCGGCTTATACTCGAGTCAGATTCCCCTCTGAAAAAAAATATGGTGTGGAGCTCCAGAGCTGGGCAGGCGCTTCCCTGCTTCCGTGTTTCCTTTGCAACTTTTAAGCATGGGGGTAATCGGAAGCAGAAAAGTTCTTGCATGAGGATATATTGTTTTTTCTTTTTTTAATTGTTTTTAGGGGGGGGGGGGAAAGACCCACCGCCATGTGAGAATGCTCAGACACGAAATCTATGTGCCCAAAAATAAGTGTGTGTGTGTGTGGGGGGGGGATTTTTAACAGAGGGAAGATGTAGGGAGAAGGCAAAAGCAACGGAAGATCCTTCTGGGGAAACTGAGGGGGAGACTCACCCTTGGTCCAGATGAGCCCCCTTCCCCGCCCCTAAGGAAGCAGAGGCAGCCAGCAAGGGCAGGCAAGCCCCACTTCAAGGACTCCGTCCGTCCTCGCTCCCACCCACCCAAAGCCACAAAGTCCCCCAATCGCACAGCCCAGAATCGCCCTCCCCTCGGGGCAGCAACGACGCCCGGTGTTTCCCGAGACAAGAAGCTTCGCCGTGCAATGAAAGCGCCCTGGCTCTAGGCTCTAGGCTCAGAAAACGAGAGCCGAGGTCGCTTCGGCTCCGCTCAGCTTCGTTTCCTCAGCCCCAGCTGCTTTCAGTCCGCTCGGGAGGAGGGGGAGGAGGTGGTGGCGGCTGCTCGCGTTGTTTTCTGAGCTCTAGGCTCATAAAACAACGCGAGCCGAGGTCGCTTCGGCTTTGCTCAGCTTCGTTTCCTCCTCCTCCTCCCGAGCGGACTGAAAGCAGCTGGGGCTGAGGAAATGAAGCTGAGCAGAGCCGAAGCGACCTCGGCTCGCGTTGTTTTATGAGCCTAGAGCGAGGGGGCTTTCATTGCATGGCGGAGCTTCTTGTCTCGGGAAACACCGGGCGTCGTTGCTGCCCCGAGGGCGATTCTGGGCTGCGCGATTGGGGGGACTTCGTGGCTTTGGGTGGGTGGGTGGGTGGGAGCCAGGACGTTGACTTTAAGCGCTGCTGACCAAGTGTTTCACAAATACCAGTGGGACCTCCGTCCACCACCACCCCTCCCTCTTTTGCCTCCTTCCTTCTGATCAATCAGGTTTTCCCAGTATTTGCTCACAGCTGCGTGCTAGGCGTTGAACGCGGGGATTTCTGATTCCCCTTACACGCGCGTGGATATGCCGCGGGGCGTTTTCTTCCGCCCCACGGGCAGAGAACACTGACTTTCATGATAGTGAGATCATTTCCCAAATTAATTGATTCACTAACCCAAAAGAAGAAGATGTTGATGACAGTGGGAGGCACGAAAAAAGCAAGAGCCGTTCTTATGATCTCTCTCTCTCCCGTAATACAGTCAAGCCCTTTCCAGCATGCGCGATCCGCCCTCGCCACTTTGCACCTTGCAAATGCAAAAAACCTGGGATTTTGCATTTGCAAGGTACAAAGCTGCAGCGGCAGATCGCGCGTGCTGGAAAGGGCTTGACTGTATTACGGGGAGAGAGAGAGAGAGAGATCATAAGAACGGCTCTTGCTTTTTTCTTGCAAGGGAGAGAGTGACTCCTGCCTTCCACTGTCATCATCATCTTCTTTTGGGTTAGTGAATCAATTAAACCTTTCATGATAGTGATATCGTTTCCCAAATTTCCCTTAAATCAGGGAAGAAATCACAAAAAAACCTTTGGACTGAGAATAAGCCTGTTCCTACGATGCCATTTTTGTTCACTGCAGTGTGAAAAGTGTGAAAAAACACACTTCTTTTTCTTCATCTTCTTGTTCCCTATTTACTGGTCTCTTTCAAAGAGGAAATTGTGAACATCAAACTTATTCTCAACTGTCCTAGTGAAAGTTTTTATTGGTATCTATTTTTATTTTTGAAATTTACCAGTAGCTGCTGCATTTCCCACCCTCGGCTTATACTCGAGTCAATAAGTTTTCCCAGTTTTTTGCGGTAAAATTAGGTGCCTCGGCTTATATTCGGGTTGACTTATACTCAAGTATATACGGTAGTTTTTCCCCCCTTTTAATTTTCTCAATTTTATTTTGATTATCTCATCTCAATTCAAATCATATTTATACTTTTGTCTGTTCTGTTTCAATTTCATACTATCTTTTCTCATTACACAAATTTTCTCCTGTAGTTACTAATTGGAGTATGACACCTTTATATCTTTTAATTACATCCATTCAACTCTTATTTAAACTTCAGTATATACCTTAAGGTTATGACCTTCAATATAATACATAATACATAACTTCCAATCGAATTCTGCTTGGAACGTTCTTATAATACACACTATATTCTTTAAAAAAAAAAAAGATTGTAAATATATGTAATTATAAACCCTCATTCCATTCCAGTTCAGTTCTATCATTAATAATCATTAAAATCTTAACCTCTTTAACACTTCTTTTCAATTAAATATCATACTTCCTTAAAAACATATATAAGCTCCATAATTAATTTTTCCCTTATTTCTCTTCACGTTTTATAAATCATTAAATATACCTTTTATTACATTTATTTATTAACAAGCATTCCACTGAATTACGATAACTATTTTATCAGACATTTTAATCATATATTGTTTCATACTTTCTAAAATTATTTCTGTTTCTAATATAACCATACTATCTTATGTACCTTTGCAGAATCCCTTTTTCCATTAAATTTTCACCCATTATCTCTAAATAGGCCCTGTTTCTCTATATTTTGTTTCTGTCCTTTATGATTTCTTTTCCTTTCTTTCTTCCCTCTCATCTTCTCCCTCCCCTTTTTACCCCCTTGTCTCTCTACTTCTAATTCTCTCTTCTGCATTTCCCTCTTCTGTTGCTTTCTGATTTTATACTTATTTTTTCACTCTATTTTTGGGGGGGAGTTGTTTTTCCCAATCTTAAACTTTCCATTCTCTTTCCCCCCTTACTTCCCCCCTCATCTAAGATTACTTGTTCATTAAAGATGGCTTCTTCTTTGTCACAATCTTCTTGTTCTGCAGGCATTTCTTGTTTTTTCTCATAATTCCAAATCTTCATTTCTAAAAACTGAAATACGAAGCCAAAAGAACCTCTCCCTCTTGTGCATCTTCTTTGTACTTTTTAAGTTCCATTTTCAGTTCTTCTAAAAGTGGAGCCATTTTAAACAGTTTTAAACAACCACCCGATTGATTTTAGTCATTCAAAACAATCACCAAGAATCCAGAAATCATCAAGTAATCCAGATAGTCCCGAGTTATATCTTCTTATTTATTTATTTTTTTGACTTTCTCTTCCAGGGGTTTTTGTTGCAATATTTCAGTTAGAATGTATCTTTTGGAAGTCTTGTTGAGATTTTGCTGTAAGTTCTTTTTTAATTCCAGGCAGTCTCCTCCCTTCCAGATCCTGCCCTTTTATTCTTTTTCTCTCCTTTCCTGTTTTCAAAAGCTTTTAATTATCCAGAAATCTTTATTATCCCTTTGACTTTTTATTTTCAGCATTAAATGCCTATTGATGTCAAAGTGGATTTTTTTCCAATTTCTTACTTAAGTCTCTTAGCTGTCAGTATAGGAAAAGGAGAAAAAAACACCAAATCTTTTCCCTTTTCTCTCTCCTTCGCAGCTTAAAAATCTACTTAGGGAACAACGTTATTGTTTTTTAATAGTTTCAATTCCAGGGTACCTTATTTGTTGCTTTTGCTGTTTGACCCGGTCAACCAAAACTTTCTTCTCTTATCTTCCTCCTGCACATTCTTTTCTGGTCGAGTTCTTCTTTGTTGTGGCCATTTCTGACCACCGCTGCAACTGCCTTCGGGAAAGGGAGTAATGGCCAGCTGGGGAGGAGAGATGCGGCTCTCCTCAACCCTGCAGGCAGTCTCCCCCCTCTTCACCACCTCTACGGGGTGGCTTAGTCCCGAAACCAGCCGGCTCGGGGCGCTCCAGAGGCGAGCACGGATCGAAGCCTCGCAGAGACGAGGTTTCGGTCTGTCGCTGAAGAAGCTCAAACCGGAAGTCTCAAAATTAGCAAATATTCATGGAATCTAAAAAGAAAAATATTCTTCCCATTTGTCTCAAAGGTACATTTTCAAGTGGCAACTGGACTTTCTGAAGAAGCTTCTTGGATGAGAAGTGAAACGTCTTCAAAAAAAACCCAGAAAGTCCAGTTGCCTCTTGGGACAACCATGACTTGGATGACTGAGAATCTCCATAGACATTATTCCCATTTGCACTTAACCATAACATAATTGTGTGCCGATGACACCAATCTCCTACTTTTCCTCAGGATATTCTTATCTCATCTTATCTCATATAAGCAAATCCATAAGTAAGGCAAGTGTGAGCAGAATCAGTGTAAAAGTTCCATTTTTAGCCACCTCGTTTGGCATTATCTAAATATACAGTAGTTTCAAGATACATAAAATCTGTAAAGCTCCATTGCCAATTATCATGGAGCCAAGCATGATGGGATGTGCTGGCATGGCCAGATCATCTGCTCAGGTCTCTTAATCAACCTGCACTGCAGCTGTTTCTTTCCCAGCTCTTGCTCTTTGCTGTGGTGCTTTTGCTTCCCAAATAGCTTTCATATATTTCACCCACCCACCCCATCTCCGTTTTTGAAAACTCCTCCTCAGGATTTCAACAAGTAAAGGCCAAAGACAACTATTTGATTTGGTGAAGAAGAGGGGATTTCCCCTCGCCCATTATTTCACTTTAACATTTTCACTTTTAGAAGCAACAACTCCACTTTTTCTCATTGCAGTATCCGGAACATAAGTAAGAA